CATGCAATAATAAGTTGGTAAAAAAGGAACATACACCGTAATACCTTCATCAGTGTAAGAAGATTCTAGAAGCAGTATGGCAACACCAGATCTTAAATCAATTGTGAAATCTTCTTCATCTATTCCCAAGTGCTTCTCAATGAACATCGATAAAACCACTTCTTCCACTCCTTCTGGTATATCTTTGATTATTAACTTGTTCTTATCATATTCCTTTACTGGTGGAAGAGGAACGTAGCGAACTTCAAGTTTACAAGGCATCTTTTTAACTTTGATTGAATGTTCCCCATGTGCAATAACAGCTAGTGCATCTATAATTATTAACATAATAATAACGAATTGATAATATCATCTTACCATCTGGTGATTCAAACTTAACATGAATAACACCCTCTTCAAATGTCTTCATAGATTCAACTACTTTTTCCTTCTTCCCTCCTGAGCGTTTGCTTTCAAAGTACATCTGAATAGCATCAGTATCAATGTCATCATCAAAAGTGACTTCAATCAAATCAGGATAATAATCTAATGCCAAGGGAGCATCAGCAGCTGCAGCGACGGTGCTGGTAGAAACACTGGCTGGATCAGGTGGATCTGTAAGTTTGATTTCAATCTGTTGCTTCTTAATTTTGTGCTTATCTTTCAGAAACTCTTTAATACCTGTGAATATTACAAAGTATTAATTTCATTGTCATACAATTTAAATTTAGGGGAAGAAGTAGTGCACAGTGCACAATAAATGAGTAAGTATATTGTTATGTGCCAAATTTAAGGGTGTTTTCTGTGTTTATAGTACTAATCATGGCTGTTAAAATTACAAATATTCATGTCTGCGCACATGAAATAACATTACGACAATTTCGTAGCCACAATGGCTACAGCGTGTTCAGTAACCATTTAACTAGAATTTTTGTCACTACACTACAGGATGATGGGCCAGAACATGCTTATTCATTTATGATGGATTGGAAGAAGTTATGAAATGTAAAGGAAGGAGTTTCTTCTAGTTTTTCAGCCAACTGAAGGTATTGTCTCTTGAGTAAGAAACTACATTGCATAGGTATCTATTGTGCATGTGCATAAGTAAATTAAGTATACTAATGCTAGTGCAAAAGTAGTAGTAATGCTACTACACAACTTGAATAATGCTGATTCCAAACCAGAAGAGCCACCTAAAGAGGTATACTTATGTGCACTGTTCTTCTTTTTAACTTTTCATTACAATTTCCTCTTCTTCGTACTGTACCATATAGTGGGATTTTTTGAGGATAATAAATTTCATAAATGCCCCATATCCGGAAGTTCACGGAATTAATTTCCAGTATTTTGCCATCTTGTACCGTAATAAATTGATTTTCAAGGAATTTAATTTCACAAATCTTAAAAAATCTGCAAAATTTATTATCCTCAAAAATAACCCGCTATACGGTATATATGTAGCTACAAATTCTGTGGCTAGCAATTTTTTGAATTTTATTTAGCAAAACTGGGCCTGCTATGGCTTAACAGAAGAGGCAAGTTTTAGTTTTAGGGATTCAAATTTTGCATTTACAAAATTAGTATAGCCACAAAATTTTTAACCATACAGTATATAGACCCCCTAGGCGCTAAGATTATTTTCAATGAATATGATTACAATAATGATATTCATTCATAATAAATAAAATTTTCCTATACGGTATCCACCCACGATGAAAATTACTGACGGCAAGAAGGCCTCGAGATCAAAAGAAAATCAAAGACGGTGATACCGCCTGGCAATTTTTCTGAGTGCTACAAGGTACTACAGGCTTACAAGCAGTATTTATGGAAAGTATGGAGACCAGACAACATCATATAGACCAGGTAACTGTTGCTGCCTTGCTATGCTTCATTTCGGCACCTTAGGCTTTGATCTGCCTTTGATGTGGAGAGCTTCTTGCTGTCAGTAAGTTTAATTGTGGGTGGCTACCGTAAATAATTCATACAAAATAGTCTTAGCATCTAGGGGGTCTATAGGCACTGGAATCCAGTTTGTGAAACACCTTTGTATAGACCACCCAGGGTGAGAATTGCAAAAGCTACAAATTTCATTAATTTTTATACACGATATCCACCCACAAGTCATAATTGGCTGCCATTTTGGTTGGCAAGTTTGTCAGGGAAGTCAATCGAGGTACAAAGAAAATGCCTCACTTACCTGCTGTAGCTCTATCAAAAGCTAAAAAGTGCTTGTTATAAGAAAGAACAGCTGCTTTTAGCAGGTTTGTTTTATTGGCCCGTTTGTTCTCCATTGAAAGTTGCCAACCAAAATGGCAGCCGGAATTTATTTCATTCCAAACCATGCCTTACAGCCATAACAGTCTTCCCATGCAAGCAATTCTCACTCTGATGGTCTATAGTCATAATGTATGTGGTTAATTGTTCTATAGACAATGAATGTGTATACTATATAGGATGGGGCCATCCCTGGGAAATTACCTTGATTCCGGTCATAACTTTAAACCATCACATAAATGTTTTATATATAAACATTTTTGTTGACAGTTTTCATGTTAATTTAATTAATTTTTGTGAAGGCTTTAAAAATTGCCAAATCTGCAAAATTTAAAGCCTCTTGAAAATTTTGTGCTGTACCGTAACTGACTTAGAGCAAATACTGGATTATTATATGCATGCATTACACATGCAAAATTATTAGTTTCTGTAGTAAACAAAATATATAATTATTAGAATATCAGAGTTACTTTCATTATCATCAGCAACTTCAACACGAGCAGTTCCATTTCCAAGTAATACCACATCATTGACTTTTTCAAGCG